AGTTCTGTCTTATTTTTGAAAGAATTTTTAAAAATCTGGGGGGGGGGCGTGTTCTATAATATCGGAGGCCACTGTTGTTTTATTTTTGAAAGGATTTGAAGGTATTTGCTACTGAGGTGTTGGTGTTCTATTTGTAGAATAATTTGAAAGAATATACGAAGCCTTGGGTGGGTGTTTTAGAAGAATTTGATAGAATCTCCGGAGTCACTGTTGTTTTATTTTTGAAAGAATTTTCAAAAATCCCGGGCCCGTGGTCTTCCATTTTTAGAAGAATTTGAAAGAATCTCGGGGATTCCTGTATTTTATTTTTACAGGAATTTGAAAGCTTTTTGAGGGCCTGGATGTTCTATTGTTTGAAGAGTTTGAAAGAGTGTCTGGGGCACTCTTCTTTTATTTTTAAAGAAATTGGAGGGGGGAGGGCGCTGGTGTTCTTTATTTAGAAGAATTTCAAGGGAATCTGGAGTTGCTAGTGTTTTATTTTTAGAAGAACATGAAATAATTTCTGGGACCTTTGTGTTCTATTATTTTCAAGAATTTGAAAGCACGACCAGTGTTCTATTGCTAGAAGAATTTGAAAAAAATCTCTGGGGCCACTGTTATTTTATTTTTGAAAGAATTTTCAAAAATCTAGGGTTCGTGGTGTTCCATTTTTAGGAGTATTTGAAAGAATCTCAGACATTCCTAGTGTTTTATTATTATGAGAATTTGAAAGCATCTTGGGGGCCTAGATGTTCTATTGTTCGTAGAATTTAAAAGAATCTCTTGGACCATTGTTGTTTTGTTAACAGAGCGTTAGTGTTCTATATTTAGAAGAATTTGAAAGAATCTAGAGTTCCTAGTGTTTCATTTTTAGAAGAACATGAAATAATCTCGGTGATCCTTTGTATTTTTTAAAGGATCTCCAAGAATCTTTATGGTTTCTGTTGTTCCAATTTTTGAAAGATCTTGAAAGAATGTTGAAGAGCCACGATGTCCTATTTTTATGACAATTTGAAATAATTTCATGAACCTATAGTATTTTATTTTTACAAGAATTTGAAAATATTGTGTGGGTCCGGATGTTCGAAGAATTTGAAAGAATCTCTTGAGCCAGTGTTGTTTTATTTTTAAAGGAATTGGGGGGAAGGGAGGGCACTGGTGTTCTATTATTTTCAACAATTTGAAAGAATCTCCAGCATCCTGGGTTATATTGTTGGACGAATTTGGAGGAATTTTGGGAGCCACTGTTTTATTTTTTTTAAGAAGAAAGACTCTCGAGGGCCCCAAGTTTTTCTATTTTTGAAAGATTTTGAAAGAATGTTGAAGGGCCATGATGTTCTATTTTTAGAACAATTTGAAAGAATTTCAGGGACCCATGGTGTTTTATTTTTAAAGGAATTGGGGAGAAGGGTGCTGGTGTTCTAGATTTATAAGAATTTGAAACCATTTCGTGGGCCCTTTGTGTTCTATTATTTCCAACAATTTGAAAGATCGTCCAGGCTCCTGGACCAGTGTTCTATTGCTAGAAGAATTTGAAAAAATCTCTGGGGCCACTGTTGTTTTATTTTGGAAAGAATTTAAAAAAATCTCGCGTTCGTGGTGTTCCATTTCTAGCAGAATTTCAAAAAAATCTCGGGGATTCTAAGTGTTCTATTTTTATAGGAATTTGAAAACATCTTGGTGGCCTGGATGTTCTATTGTTCGAAGAATTTGAAAGAGGCTCTGGGGTCACTCTTGTTTTATTTTCAAAGGAATTGGGAGGGGGGGTGTTCTATGTTAAGAACAATTTGAGGGAATCTAGGGTTCCTAGTGTTTTATTTTTAGAAGAACAAGAAATAATCTCGGGGATCCTTTGTGTTCTATTATTTTCAAGAATTTGAAAGAACCTTGAGTTAGTATTGTTGGACGAATTTGGAGGAATTTTGGAAGCCACTGTTTTATTTTTTTAAGAATTTCAAAGATTCTCGAGGGCCCCAAGTTTTTGTATTTTTGAAAGATCTTGAAAGAAAGTTGAAGGGCCATGATGTTCTATTTTTAGGACAATTTGAAAGAATTTCAGGGACCCATGGTGTTTTGTTTTTACAAGAATTTGAACGCATCTTTGGGGCTACTATTGTTTTATTTTTAAAGGAATTGGGGGGAGGGTGTTGGTGTTCTAGATTTAGAAGAATTTGAAACCATTTGTTATCTATTATTTCCAACAATTTCAAAGAACGTCCAGGACCCTGGACCAGTGTTCTACTGCTAGAAGAATTTGAAAAAATCTCTGTGGCCACTGTTGTTTTATTTTTGAAAGAATTTTCAAAAATCTCGCGTTCGTGGTGTTCCATTTTTAGGAGAATTTGAAAAAAATCTGGGGGTTCTTGGTGTTCTATTTTTATAAGAATTTGAAAGCATCTTGGGGCCTGGATGTTCTATTGTTCGAAGAATTTGAAAGAGGCTCTGGGGTCACTCTTGTTTTATTTTCAAAGAAATTGGGACAAGGGAGGGTCCTGGTGTTCTATGTTTAGAACAATTTGAGGGAATCTAGGGTTCCTAGTGTTTTATTTTTAGAAGAACAAGAAATAATTTCGGGGATTCTTTGTGTTCTATTATTTTCAAGAATTTGAAAGAACCTTGAGTTAGTATTGTTGGACGAGTTTGGAGGAATTTTGGTAGCCACTGTTTTATTTTTTTAAGAATTTCAAAAATTCTCGAGGGCCCCAAGTTTTTGTATTTTTGAAAGATCTTGAAAGAAAGTTGAAGGGCCATGATGTTCTATTTTTAGGACAATTTGAAAGAATTTCAGGGACCCATGGTGTTTTATTTTTACAAGAATTTTAAAGCACCTTGGGGGCCCAGATGTTCTATTGTTTCAAGAATTTGAAAGCATCTTGGAGGCCTAGATGTTCTATTGTTCGAAAAATTTGAAAGAGGCTCTGGGGTCACTCTTCTTTTATTTTCAAAGAAATTGGGACTGGGGAAGGTCCTGGTGTTCTATGTTTAGAACAATTTGAGGGAATCTAGGGTTCCTAGTGCTTTATTTTTAGAAGAACAAGAAATAATCTTGGGGATCCTTTGTGTTCTATTATTTTCAAGAACTTGAGTTAGTATTGTTGGACGAATTTGGAAGAATTTTCGGAGCCACTGTTCTATATTTTTAAAGAATTTGAAAGAATCCCACTTTTTCTATTTTTTAAAGGATTTCCCAAAATCTCTGGGGTCCCTGTTGCTCTGTTTTTGAAAGATCTTGGAAGAATGTTGAAGGACCATGATGTTTATTTTTAGGAGAGTTTGAAAGGATTTCAGCGACTCATGGTGTTTTATTTTTACAAGAATTTGAAAGCACATTTCGGACCCAGATGTTCTATTGTTCGAAGAATTTGAAAGCATCTCTAGGTCCATTGTTGTTTTATTTTCAAAGAAATTGAGGGGGTGGGGAGGGCGCTGGTGTTCTAGATTTAGAAGAATTTGAAAGCATCTAAAGGGTCCTGGACCAGTGTTTGAAAGGATCTTTGGGACCACTGTTGTTTTATTTTTGAAAAAATTTGAAAGAATTTCAAGGACACATGGTGTTCTATTTTTAGACGAATTTCTAAGAATTTCCGGAGCCACTGTTGTTTAATTTTTGAAAGAATTTTAAAAATTCTCGGGTGACTCTGGTTTTTCTATTTTTACAAGAATATGCAAGAAGTTCAAGGGTCTCTACTGTTTTATTTTCGAAAGAATTTGAAAGAATCTCGAGGGTCCCTGGTCGTTTATTTTTCGATAGGATTTCTGTGGTTCCTGGTGTTTTTAAAGTATCTCAGGGAACCGTTGTGTTCTACTTTTACACGAATTTCGAAGAATCTTTGGGGTCTGTAGTTAACTTTTATTTTTTAGAATTAATCACAAGGGTATTTCAAAAAATTACTACTTATTTCTTGGATTATTTTAGACACAAGTAGATTCTGTACTTTTAATCCTAGTTGGAAATAACGTGAATAATCTAAATGGAGATGATAAAAATACCAGTGTACTTACAATCAATAAATCATTTAATATAAAATATATTAACATTAACTTAGAAGATGTTCGTGTTTTATTTTTCAAGCAGTCAACATATAATATTGTGGGAAAAACCTTGAACGGGTAAAAAATGAGGAAAAATATTTTAAAAAGCATGACTGAAGTCGAATGGGTTTCCCACAAAACACCAAATTTTTTATTAAAATTATACGTTTGTGTCTCATAGAACTCAATTGTGTATTTAACTTACAATCAAATTAATTAGCTTTTAGCAGCTAATAGAAAATTAAAATTGATGAAACAATTTCCAGACCCATTCGTAATACTGAAAAACTGACCATGGTAATTGTTCATAGATATGAAAGCTCTTACGGAAATGAGAAAGGGTGTTTCTGCAGAGTTTGCAATCTTTTTAATGTGCTTAATTAAATACTTTATGCAAAAATCACAAAAAGTATTTTTAGTAATCTCATTAATAACAAGTTGCGTGTGAAATTATGTTTATCCTAATTAATACTTCTAGTAACCATCTAAAGTCTACTTTAATAAAATTCGCCCACGATTCAGTTAACTGAACAAATGATAAAAATCTGTGAATGTGACACGATGGTTTGTAGTTTCACACAATGTCATATTTAACTCCTCACACTTCATAGAACATATCACGGAATCTTATTTTTTTCCTTTAAAATAGGTAATTTGTTTCAACCTTGTGTGGGAATTACATTACCCGTAAAGAATAATAGCTCTAGTTATATTAACTCATTACTGGCTATCAAACGAAATTAGTTTGTCTAATAAACTCGTTGTCTTAATAGTGTCTTTAACGATCCCTTTTTACTTTCCGAATGATGGCTTTAGCGAATGTCTAATATCATGGCGTTTCACGACTCACATAAACTCAGGTTTCTTGTTTCCGTCTGTGTCTGTTAACTATTTTATAGACGTATAATTTACGTTAACCTTGAAGATCTAAATTCTCCAAAAATTTTTTGTTATGTTGTGTAAACACCACATTATTTATTTTTTTACAGATCCTTTCGCCATAATTCACGACTGGCCCGAAATACACGTATACGCCCTCGGTCCTGGAAAATCCGCTTTTCGTTTAGACTCCAGAGGAACTTTTATAGTCCGAGAAATCGATGAAAGTTTAGGAAAAATCAATGTTACAAGACACTACGACATCGACCAAAAAGAATATTGTACCGAACATGCTACTAAACCGAAGCTCAACGCTTACCTCTTCTTTCGAGGGTTTCCTCATCAGCAGCAAATTAAATTTGTTTACACCGGAATTGCGATGGCTATATCGTGTTTCTTTCTGGCTTTAACTATCATCTACTACTGCATTTCGGACGAGAAGAGGACGCTGTTTGGGAAAATACTGATCAGCTATTGTTCGGCGTCTTTCCTGGCGCTTCTTTTGCTGAGCTACTTTGGTTTAAACACAAAACGGCCGGAGAAAGGTGCTGTGATTTGTAAAGTGATTGGTAAGTTAAAATAAAGCTGGATTTATTCCCTTCCAAAAACTTGATGACGTCACCTTAAGTTTGCTAAGCAAATACAATTTAATTCTGGCAAAGAAGAGAGTAAAATGTTATGGGAGTGGATTTTACGTGGTAAAAAATTATTATTTATATTGTTTTTTTTTTGTGGATTATCCAATATTTTGATTACATGAGTAAGTTTCATAACTATTCCATGTAATAATTAAGTGATGCGCCAATGTTTTTATTCCTCTAACATAACTCTTTTCAACCACAAGTTGCTTTAATTTGCTTAAATTTACATACATTTTCTTTTTTTTTTTAGCTTTCGTGATTTTCTACCTAACGTTGGCAGTAATCACCTGGATGAATGTCATGTGCATTGATATTTATTGTACTTTTGGGTGAGTATCGCACTATTTGCATAAAAGCATTGATATACGGTCGACGCCTACTTTAATCAAGCTTTCATAATAGTGATAGACGATCCTTTTTGCAAAAAATAAAAGTAAAATGGCAATTACACGAATGAGTTTTCTCTCCGGGTATAATTCCAACGCATACATGTCACTGGAATAATAAAATTTATCTCAATAACGTGGCTTTCAAAGGACATATTGCGCTATAATCATCCGTCTAATAATTGCGCATTAATTGGGTGGAACTAAGCCCGTTTCAGATAATTCCGTCGAAATTGCGAATTTTCGTCAAGTTCTGAAAGCACAAAGAGCCCGATGAGGTATGATAAACCGAGAACCGCGAACTTATTTTTAAAATAAATAAATAAAAAATGACGTGTTGTGACGATGAGCAAGTAATAATATTTATCAAAAATTCGCTAACGTATTGTTATACTGAAAATAGATCATGGCCTTTACACTTCTGACGTGTCGTGTTATTTTGAGTAAGTTTCCTTTTACAGATCCTCGAAATCTTTCTCAAGCCGACAACATAGAGGAAAAGATCTGAAAAGATTTTTGCTGTATTGTTTACATGGATGGGGGACTCCACTATTTCTGACGATTCTTCCGATAATTTTCTACCACACGAACGTAATGCCATTTGAGTTACAGATTATAATAAAAGAGGAAAAGTGCTTCTTGTACAAAGGTGAGAATAAAAATTAGACAACAAAGAAAATACAGTTTGATTTTCCAGGTGATGGCAATTATGCGCAATTTTTATTTTCGACGGTGCCTTTCGCCATCATGACCCTCTGCAACCTAATCCTCTTCGTCAAAACCGCAATCTATTGCCTACAAGTTAAAAAAGAGATCAACAAAATGAATGACACCCACCTCATGAAAGGCGAGAAGTGGCAGAAGTTTAATAAATTCCGTGACAGGTAAGTTTACACAATCCTAACACATAACTTTCAGAAATTCATGTTTTGCGTCATAGGTTTGGGTTGTTGTTGAAGCTGTTCTTTATCATGGGAATATCCTTCCTGTTCGAGGTGGTTTCGACTTTCTACGACTTCAAAAAAGACGACACCACCGCGATTATCGAAATAATTTGGGACACGTTTAACTGTTTGCAAGGGGTGTTCATATTTGCGATATTTATTCTCAAGAAGAGGATTTTCAAGAAGTTTCAGACGAAAATAGGACTGCAAAAATTGCGAAAAATTTCGCTGGTTTCTTCGGCGGCGACGCAGACGTCGTCACTCGCAACGCTTACTAAGTAAGTAGATATTGGAAGGTAAACCAAAGAGGATTGTCGAAAGATAAGCGCGGAAGTTATTGTTAGTGTGTTGAGCAGCCTTGGAATTATATTTAAAATTGCACTCCACAAACCATAATTAATTTTCTACGGCTGCACAGTTTCTGACTTTAAAAGTTAGATGACTGAAAGCTGTGTGGGGTTAATGTTAATTAATATTTGAAATTATGTCATTGAGATTATTAGAATAAATAGGCGAAAAGTAATTTACGGGTTTGCTGTAAGTCAATTTTCTATCTCTCTCTTTTTTGTATTTACATACATTTATATGTGAAGTTCAATCAAAGCTACATCGCAGAAATTCATAGCTAACTGCGAGGGAGTTTTTATTGAACATTTTGTATAATTCAAAGGATTTTGTACCAATCTATTAAATGTGTAGATTGTGGTGTGATTTGATTATCCAAAGATTTTAGTACCTCAGTTACGTAGTATGTAAGCATAGATATATGTATATGGTTATACCTACGTTTTTTCAGAATATGCATGATGTACATTTAAGTTTTAATATTTTTATTGGATTGTGTATATATATAGAATGGATAATGTTTTTGATAGTTTCAAATGTGTACAGATATAATGATATATAAGTACTTCAGTTATAACATTAATCGTTTAACGACTTCTGTAATTTTGGTTGTTTTGCGGTTACGCTTATCAGAAGAATCTCTTGTGTTACATGTTTTTGTAAAACGTAGTACTACTTAACACTTACATGTATGACGTAATTTTACTCTTTTAATGTTCTCTTTATTATCTAAATAATAAAAATTTAAATTTGTTGTTTTTTTAACACGCATGTTTGTACCTGTTTTTTAAACTGCAACTGAAGTTAGAAAAGTTACGTTTGATTCTGCAAATATCTTATTTTTCAAGCTTTATTTAAATCAATCAAGCTGTGAGCTAGCGAGAGCGAGCGCTGCTCCTGACCTTATAACTTATAGAACGTATTATAGTTTCCCAAAGATGTTAATCGATACATAATTTGATATGTCAAAGATATTTTTTCCAAAATAGTAAAGAAGATTTACGAATAATTTTTTCTACATATGGTATTTTTCTACAAGAGCAGTTACACCCACGTACATTTAACACATGATTTCATATTTCTGATAAACTGATTAGATTTCACGGTAACACAGCGTGTTCTATTATTAAGAGTAATACGTGTAAATCGGTATTTTTTTAGATTCTTTGCTTGTTTGGTTAATGTTAAAATTCCTATGAGACAATAAGATTTATTTTATCTACCATTATTTAAAAACAGGATGTGTATAATATTACAGTGGTCTTCTTTATTGCGAGAAACTCTTCCGCTAGATGGCGAAAGCTTCTAGAAAATAAAAATTGTGTATCGTTTGACGGGAAGAATTTCTACAATATTTTATTAAATATGTACAGTTCAGTGTATTATTCAATGTTACAATTTTACCTTAAATAATTGCTGATTTTGTGCAGAAGAAAATTTATACGATGTAGGTTAAGCAAGATATAGTCTAGATTAATAATATCAAAGCACGTATTTGCTAAAATATGTAGATATATTCATGGCAGGAAATTATAGATAAGATAAATAAATGAATAAAAATTATTAAAAATAAATCATCGTTATGGTCTTCATTTCCAGATTGTGATGATTTTTTGCATGCGTAGAGGTTCCTAAAGAGCTATTAAGGTCTCTTTTCTCTGTCCTAGTTACTGGAAATCTTTTAGATAAAATTTCATATTAATTACTTTTTTGGTTTTGATTCTTTCTAACTTTCCTTATTACAGTTTCGTTTGATGAAAAAATCATAAACAAGCCGGTGATATGTTGTAGGTGTCTAACGCCTCCAGGAAACATCAACACGCAATTATTAGACGGAGGTGAAATGTAACAAATGTCTAATTCTTCCAAGAGTTAACTAACTGTTACTGCCTAGAAAGAAAATGTTCGGTTAACCCAAACGTCTCGTCTAAATTAGACATGTGCACTTTAAAATCTTGAGAAGCAAAAACGGTTGAAATAAGCTATAAAAGAATTTATTTTCACAATTTCAAAAGTCGTCTCCAGCTTTCAGAAATGAAATCAAATCGATACACATATTTGAATATTTTTAAATACACTGACCGGCAAAAAAACCGGTCACCCTGAAAAATTTCGCAAAACCATTTTAAAAATTATTAATTTAACTAGTGGTCGTTGTTTTATTAAAGAACCATTCACTATTGACATCCGTTGTACAAATTAGTAAAAAAAGAAGACCTATAAACGCAGAATTAAGTTTAATTTAACAAAAGAACAGAAATAGACCAAGTACGATATTATCTTAAATAAAACAATAAAGGGGGCTGTTGTTGTAAACAGTGTTGAGATAACCCAAATGTCCCGCCTTAAACTTGACATGTGAAAAAGTTCGAAAGGCCCGCGAAAAATTCAAAATTTGGCCTTGGCTGTGATCGTCTAACAAAATGGAACCCTACGTTGTGTTTTTGAAAAATGGCGGTATGCGTTCAGATGCAAATGGTGGACCCCAAGGTTGGAAAAGTACAGCTAAATCAAACACAAAATTTATGGAGGACACAAAATTATTTATTCTTCCACTGACAAAAAAAAAAGCGGCGTTTGAGGGTGACTCGTGACTTGCCCTCAGGCTGCCGAATGGGGGACGAATCGCAATCGTATTTTTAGCCCCCCAAAAAAAACTTATTGAACTTTGGATGAAATTTAAATGATTTATTTATTCCTCCACTGACAAAAAAAAAGCTTTGAATGAATTTTAAATGAAATCAAATTAAACGTTTTGAATCAATGCAGATATTTGAAAATCACAAATTTAATAAAAACAAAGCAAAATCTGAATTAAAGTAACTGGATGGAAATACACAAGTTATTGCATACGTGTGGCGACAAATTTAAAATTATGGCAGTCAACAAGAGTTTTAATAAAAACTATGCAGCGGCAGCGGCATCAGAGCAGTATAAGAGTGTAGTGATCGACTATGTCAATTTCATTCTAGAACACAACAAAAATACCCATAGGGGGACGTTGTAGCGCGAGCGGAGTTTGGGGCTCCAGGTCCTGGCTGTTCTCCTACCCACAACGGTGATTCTATCTATCGCAAGCACTGTCGCCCAGCGATCCCCAAGAGTGCCTAGACGAACAGGCCGTTACGGTCGCAAATTCGCAGTTGGGTCCCGGCTATCAGCCAGCCGACAGCATTACGTCATCTCAACGGCCCCTGAATTATATTCTAACTCTCCATCTTTTGTGCAGATGACGTACTAAATCTCGCCAGCTCGACTAGAAACCGCGCACTCCGCTTCCGCCACGTGTTTCTATGTTATTTAACCTCGATTCCATTTATATGTTCAATTTCTGTAACTCTGACGTTAAACTACAACTGAACAAGTGTAAAGTTCAAAAATAGCAGTAAACAACATTTAAATTCGCCATACAATCTTGTGAAATTTTAAGCAACAAAATATTGAGATTAAGATTGGACATCAGCTAATTTATGATCGAAGCATCAATCAACAACATATTTACAAAAAAAAAACTAGTAAAGATTTATAAAAACAAAAAGAGATCTGGTGTAAAATAAAACTTGTGCAGATATAAATATTACGTGAGGTTAAAACTGAAGAGCATGGAAATTTACGTTCAATTTAAATTATACATCAAAGAAAATTACTGAAATTAAAATTGTGAGATTAAGAAAAATTTAATGAGGTGAAAAATTGCAAAGCTAACAAATTACATGAGATTAATATGTGCTATACTTTATCAACGATTCAAACAAAGAGTTTACATTATGTTAAATTATGTCTTGATCCAAGTGATTGGTTACTTAAAACAATTAGCTTTGAGAGTTTATAATATGGTGGACTGTCCCCAGCATATCCCAAACAAAACACATGATAAATAAACACAAAAATATCCAATTATCGTTGCGAGGAAAAAAGCGTCTCGGTGATGTAAATTTTAGCGTTGCGAGAAAATAGGTCTCGATGATGTAACCTTTAATGTTGCGAGGAAATGCCTCGGTGATGTAATTTTCCACGTTGCGAGAGAATAGGTCTCGGTGATGTAATCAATCTTTAACGTTGCGAGGAAATGTTTCGGTGATGTAATTTTCCACGTTGTGAGAGAATAGGTCCAGATGATGTAATCAATCTTTAACGTTGCGAGGAAATGCCTCAGTGATGTAACGATTATAACGATGATACTAACGTGATAACTGCCTAAGGTAAGAAATTATTTTGATCCTCCGCCAGTTCACGATATTATGAATTCCGTCATTTGCTAAAATCAGTCTTATCTTAGCAGGTACTAACCCTGCCCGCTCGCCCTGTATTTTCTTAGACAATATGTCATTTGCCAAAATCAGTCTTAACAGGTTCTAGGCCCACCCCCACCCGCCCTCTCTTTTCTTAGAGGGTATGTCATTTGCCAAAATCAGCCTCGTTTTAGCAGGTACTAGCCCCGCCCACCCGCCCTCTCTTTTCTTTGAGGGTATCTCATTTGCCAAAATCAGCCGTATCTTAGCAAGTACTAGCCCCACCCACCCGCCCTCTCCTTTCTTAGAGGGTATGTCATTTTCCAAAATCAGCCTTATCTTAGCAGGTACTAGGTACTAGCCCCACCCATCCGCCCTCTCTTTTCTAAATTATCTTAAACTTGCAGAATTTTTAGATACAGTTGTTGTTAAAAGTAAAAAAAAAGTAGATAATAGTCTGGTAAGGGTCCATTAGCACCAATTATAGCTACAACACACGACGTACGATTAACACTGGAATTACTACCTGTGCTACTTTTCGCAAAGGAGACGCCAGCTAGGCGACCTGATTCATGGCTGCGAAATCCGGTATTATAGATATACATTAACGTGAACAATGGTAGAAAAAAAATCTCAATTTGGATGTGGACCAAAAGAAGAAAAATTAGGGCTCTAGGAAAATAGCACATAAATGTAATATAAAATAGTCGTGCCGTTTCGAGTCCATGATGATATTAATTTAACTAATGACAATTTTCATCTCAAAGTGGATCGAGGTTTAAGATTAATGTAACTGCTGCAAATAAACTATTTTAAATATCGAGTGACAAGTTATGAAGCGTTAATAATTTAACGACTTAGGTATGCTCATACAGAACTTTAGATATTGTTACTAAATGAGTTAAGCCTGAATAAGTGAATTTATTGCCTCGTATTTTACGCTTATTGTCGTAAATGGTGTTAGAACTAGAATTGTTGATTCTAATTAAAATGCGAGAGAATTATCCTGCAATAAAAATGTAGGACAATTCCATTATGATTTATGATTAGAGACAAAGCTTCTTTAATGGAAAAGGCGGCGGCTAAAATTAGAAAAAAATTGTAGATTGGATTTAATAGTAGAAATTTAAAGGTTTATATTTCACGATTAAAAATAAGGTGCAACGAAAAAAGTCAAATATTTTATTTTAGTGCCAGGACTTTCAGTATTAGTTGAAAGAAACTAAAACATCAATAGTATTGTAGAACCCTTCTACGT